TTTTTCGCATTATCACTTTTTGTAAATCATTTTTTATCTCGAGCTTCTATTTCTTTTGTGTCTGACTACACAATATTCGTGATGCACGAATATTTGCAAAGAAGCACGCACGAGTTAGAAAGTCAAATGTCAAGACTTTTTTTGTTCACATATTTTATTATGAGAAAAAACAGATCCTCGGTGTTAACGTTTGAAAATCATTTTGTTTATGAAACAAAATAATTAAGATCGTACGAGACCATTAGACCATTATTATCATTTGTTTTCCTTGGTAATTTTTACTACTGTTTATTTTTTTAAATTAAAACTTTGTTTTTCCTTAATAATTAATGAATTCTGAATTTAATTATTTTCCAATAATTAATAAGAAATTAAACTTGACATTAATTTTTTTTTTTAATAATTAATAATAAATTAAACTTAATTACTTTTCGATAAGTTTTATTTTTAATGATTTATTATCTTTTGGAGTCATTATATAATATGATAATAATAGGTGACAAAAAATTGAAATATAAAGAAAATTTTTCCAATATTGTGCAATATGCTTTGATGGAAAATATTTTTTGTATCTTAAAGGAAGAAAAAATGTCAATAATTTTAGAGACTCTTTAAATTAACAATTTTGTCTGATTTCCTAATTTTTCCTTTTTTTCAGTAAATATTTACTTGAAAATTTTGCTGAGTTTACATCTTCCTCAGAATTTCGAGTTTCGAGAGTCATTAGCAAAGTTAAACTCCTGTAATTTTCAGAAAAAGGGGAGACTTGAACACTTTACGCTCTCTCGGGATCTCTCAAAGTAAAAAACTACTGTGAACATCAAACAAAAAAAAATGAAGCGTTTACAAAAAGAAACATTCAATTTTTCTTAAATTTTCTATTTATCTTAATTTAAGAAAAATTGGCAAAAAATTCTATTGATAGTTATTTTATTTATTAAATTAATTTTATTAACTTTATTAATGTTCAGTTAAATTATTTTTTTTTAGTTTTTAATTCTATTTTTTCTTTTACGAATTAACGTTTTGCAATTAATATCTATACTTGATTAATGTCCGCACAAGACTCAATATAATGTCCGTTTGAGCGAAACAATAGTTACGGTTCGTTAAATTTCGACTAATTTTAAATGTGAAGGCAATCAGACGGGTTCCTTCAATTAACGAGTTTTTAACAAATCGTTTTGCAGTAGACGAGCTTGAAAATTGGAGTACATATCCATTATTAAGTGACATACGGTACTCCAATTTCCTGTTTCGTTTTTTTTTAAAGGAAGAAAATAAAAAAAAGAAATTTTGATCAAGTTCTAAATTTTCTGTAAATCAATCTATATTTGCAAATTTAGTTTTTAACTCGAATTTTGTTTAATGAAATGGAAATTTAGCTTTAAATGTTTTGTATCGTTTATTTTAATTTAATTTAGTTTTTAATTAAATAATTAAATTTATTTAGTAATTAAATAATTAAATTTAGTCAGCAATTAAACTTTTTTATTAATTAAAAAATATTTTTCTAATTAAAAAAAAATTGCACTGAAGAAAATATAAAGTAAATTTTTTCTATTTAAATAAATTGAAACCGCGTCTGAAATTTCTGCGCATTTCTGGCGTGAACTTTACTTGGCCGAGAGTAAATTTTACTATATTATTTTTTACTGAAATTTTCTCACGCGCGTCAATATTAATTATTAATTAAGAACAAATTGGACAGACAGTCAAATCAAAAAGTAAACCAATTATATATTCTTGTATTGTATTTTCATAGCAAATCGATAAATTTAATTAATAAATATTTTCCATGAGAAAAGTGTGAATAATTGTATTCTTGTCACTTTCGAATAATTAAAAGTAGACATTTATTTAATAAAAGAATTACAAAATTATTTTTGTAACATAATTTACGAATTTTTATTTATTTACACTAAAAAAAAATTTATTTGATTCAAATAACCGATTAATTAGTGAAATATGGTAATAATTAATAGTTAAAATTATTAATTAATAATTAATTTATAACAATTGATACTAATTAATAACAACTGTAATTATAATTAAAAAACAAACCAAGTTATTTTTCTTAATTTAAAAATTCTTTAATAGTACTTTTAGGATTAGTGAGTGGAAAATTTATATCAAGAATTAAGTTAAGCAGATTATGCAGAAAAGCGCTTTGAATGTTTTTTTTTAGAAACATAATAAAAAACATTAGTTTAAATAAACGTAGTATTTTTGTTATATTAATTGAAGCAACTAAAAAATTTCGTTAATATAGTAAAATTTGTATAGTTGTTCCAGGAAAAATTTTTTTTCGTGACTGCTTTCAATTTGTACTTTATTGAAGAAAAAAATTTATATTTTAGGTATTAAAATAATTAATTATTAACTAAGTAAATGTTAAATTTACATTATTTTTTGATTCCCTGTAGTAGTTTTTGAAAATATTTAAATAGAAAAAATATTTTTCTCATTTCGAACGTAAGGAATTTTAGCGAAATCAAAAACTTTCATCTTTATCAGGAAGCAAATGTATTTCATTAAATAGCAAAAACTTGAATGAGTAAATATATATTAGAAAATAACTACAAAATAGGCTGTGATTTTTTTTATTGTTCAATTTTGTTTAAATATAGTAATTATTTCAGACTGTCATTGAAAAAAAGTAATATAAAAAAATGATTCTAAACAATTACAGTAAGTTTAAAAAGTAGTTTTAAAAATTAATGTTAAAAAGTGGTTATTAAATATTGTGTTAAAAAGCAATTTTTAAAAATAGTTTCAACATTTCATGTTACAAAATAGTTGTGAAAAGTAGTTTTAAAAAATAATTAAAAAATTTGAAATCAAAAAACAGTTTTAAAAAGTAGTCGCAAAAAATACTATTTTAACATTATTTTTTAAAAAATAGTTTTAAAAGTTATTGTTAAAAACAGTAGTGAAAAGTAGTTTCAGAAAATAATGTTAAGAAGTAGTTTTTAAAAATAATGAAAAAATTTAATGTTAAAAACAGCAGTGAAAAGGTAGTTCTAGAAAATTAATTTTTGAAAATAATGATAAAAAAATAGTTCTTAAAAATAGTTTGAGAATATTTAATGTTAAAAAACAGTTTCAAAAAGTAATTAAAAAAGGAGTTTTTAAAAATGGTTTTCAAATTTCCCGTTAAAAAAAAATTGTGAAATTTTATTAACTTTTATTAAATTTATACAATATTATTGTGAAAAGTAATTTTAAAAAATAATTTAAAAATTAAAAAACAGTTTCAAAAAGTAGTTTCATCAAAATAAGGTTAAAAAGATTGGTTTTGAAAAGTAATTTTATAAAGTAGTTTTTAATAACAGGTTTACAGTTGAATGTTAAAAATTATAGTCGTGAAAAGTTGTTTTCAAAAATAATTTAAAAACAGTTTTAAAAAGTATTTTTAAAAAATAATGTTAGAAAGTAGTTTTAAAAAATAATGGTGAAAAATAGTTCTTAAAAATAGTTTGAAAATATTTAATGTTGAAAAACAGTTTAAAAAAGTAATTAGAAAAGGAGTTTTTAAAAATGGTTTGGAAATTCACCGTTAAAAAAAATTGTGAAATTTTATTAACTTTTATTAAATTTAAGCAATTGTGAAAAGTAGTTTTAAAAAATAATTGAAAAATTGAAAAACATTCTTAAAAAGTAGTTTCATCAAAATAGTGTTAAAAAATTGGTTTTGAAAAATAATTTTTAAAAGTAGCTTATAATAAAAGGTTTACAGTTTAATGTTAAAAAATATAGTCGTAAAAAATTGTTTTAAAAAATAATTTTATGAAGTAGTTTTTAAAAACAGTTTTAAAATGTAATGTTAAAAAACAGTTGTGAAAAGTAGTTTAAAAAAATAATGTTAAATAGTAGTTTTTAAAAATATTTTTAAAATTTAATGTTAAAAACCAGTTGTGAAAAGTAGTTTTTTAAAAAATAATGTTAAATAGTAATTTTTTAAAATATTTTTAAAATTTAATGTTAAAAACCAGTTGTGAAAAGTAGTTTTAAAAAGTAGTTTAAAAAAATAATGTTAAATAGTAGTTTTTTAAAAATATTTTTAAAATTTAATGTTAAAAACCAGTTATTTGAAAAAGTAGTTTTCAAAAAAAGTTATAAAAAATAATGTTAAATAGTAGTTTTTTTAAATAGTTTTAAAATTTAATGTTAAAAACCAGTTATTTGAAAAAAAGTAGTTTTCAAAAATAGTTTTAAAAAATAATTTTTAAAAATAATTTAAAGAAACAGTTTTATAAAACAATTAATAAAAATATCTTATATTTGCATCGCCCACAAATATTGTTTATAAATAAAATAAAAAAATTTTCTCAAAAAAATTTCTGCAATTAACCTTCATAATTATAGAGAACTTTTATTTAGAAATTAATAAGCAAAAAAGCCTTTGAATTTTATTAATTAAATAACTGGAAAATTATTTCTTATCAATCGGAAAATTGATTAGATTAGATTGAACCAATTTCTCTTGAATTTGTACCATAAACTTGTTTTTCCACTAATTTCATCATTAATTATTATTCACCTTCTACTTTTTTCGCACTAATTTTTAAGCAAAATTTATTAACATTTATTGCAAGTTAACTAAGTATATATACAAAACTTTTGTTTGTTTCTTTTTTTTCATTAAAGAATAAAGATGCTCCAAAATAGAATCCACTTTTGGTCCAAATATAAACTTTAAAAACATTCGCAGAGAAATCTCAACGAGTTATTTTACATTGCAGCAGATTTACATTTTAAGATAATCTTTTTAAAGTCAAGTATAAAAAAGAAAATTTTATATGAAGAATAAACTTTTTAGATAGGGAGATAGAGATAGAGAGAGAAAGAGAGAAAAAGAAAGAGAGAGAGAGAGAGAGAAAGAGACAAGGAGAGAAAAAGCATAAGCAATAAAGAAAATAGTCAATTTCTACTTTTTATGTTAAAATTTCATTCAAATCAAAGAAGAGTAATCTAATTAGGTTTTTCTTTGTTTACAGAATCGATTTGTATATAAAAGGGCGACCAAATCATTGGCTGTATCATCAACGTTGGACTGATCCAGGTATGTGTGTGTATATTTTTAGATTTTAAGAAGCAAAAAAAAAAATTCATTTGGCCTCAACGAAAAATGTTGTTAATTGAATTTGTGCATAATTTATATAAGTGTGTCATAAATGTCAAAGCTGTCAGTCAGTGCATGTGTCATTTGTTACCGGTAGCTTTGTGTTTGTTTTTCTCTCGTGGGAAAACGATATAGATGCCATTTGTCTAGATATAGGTGTACATATACTTGAATATAAAAATAGGTTGAAAAATTATATTAAATTATTAGTTAATTTTTATTAAAATAAAATTTTGAGAATTTTTTTTTTTTTCGTATTGGTGAAAAAAAACGTACCGGCATAGTTGTATGTGTTTGGTGGGTAGCTTCTTGAAAAAAAAAGATGATTCTTGTTTTACAGAGAGAACCTTGCCCAAGAGTTTGATTATATTGTGGCTCAAGTATCCGAGGCTGGTGTTGAACGCAAGTTGCCCCCGGAGCTTATGAGCTTCTATTTTCGGTTAATTTTTATCACAGAAAAAGAGCATTATTCACGTCATAGGGAGTTTTGAATGAGTTTATTAAGATGGAACAGGGGATAACGTAGCTTCAACACTGGTGTACCGATCTCAACTAGAGTCCAACTTGAACATTTCCCATGTACATTATACATACGTTCCCCTCCACCATTTTACCTCGATGGCGCACAATGACGTAGCTGCCTCATCAAACACCCCAACGAGAAAATATTTTTTTTTTTTAATATTATTGTTTGAAAAATTCTTCTTGTTGTTTGTGGGAAAAAAATTATTTTGTTTGATTCAAAAAGGAAGTTAGAAAACAAAAAAATTAATTAATTTTTTTAATTTTTGGGAAATTTGTTTTTTGTTATATCAAACACCTCACGAGAAAATATTTTTTGTTTTTTGTAGTTGACAAATTTTTCTTCTTATTTGTGGAGCAGAAAATTTTGTTGTTTAACTGGAGAAAAAAATTAGGAAAAAAAGAAATTAATAAGATTTTTTAATTTTTGGGAGGCCACTTTTTCACATCAAACACCCAAACGAGAAAATATTTTTTATTATTTTATTATTTGAGGAAGTTTTTCTTGGTTAAAGTTTTTAGGTTTTAAAAGTTTTTTTTTTATTTTTATTTATTTATTTTTTGTTATATCAAACACCTCACGAGAAATTTTTTTTTTTATTTTTCTGAGATATTTTCCTTGTTATTTGTGGAAAAGAAAATTTGTTGTCTAATTGGAAAAGAAAATTAGAAAAATAGTTAGAAATTAATTAAATTTTTGGAAGACCAGTTTTTTTCATGTCAAAGACCTTACAAGAAAATATTTTTAATTATTTTATCATTTGAGGAATTTTTCTTATTATTTGAGGAAAAGGAAAATTTTTGTTTAATTGGGAATAAAAATAAGAAAAAATAGAAATTTATAAGATTTTTGAATTTTTGGGAGGGTACTTTATCACATAAAAAAACCCCAATGAGAAAATATTTTTTATTATTTTATTGTTTGAGGAAGTTTTTCTTGGTACTTGAGGAAAAGAAAATTTGTTATCTAATTGGAGAAGAAAATTAGAAAAAAAGAAATTAATTAAGATTTTTTAATTTTTGGGAGATTAGTTTTTTTTATATCAAACATATATTTTTAATATTTTTTTATAAGAATGAAATGATAATTAAGATTGAATTACATAATATGAAAATGAATTAAAATGAAAATTTTAAAAGAGTGTGGAAATCACCATCAAGTGTAGAATTAAAATTTTTTTATTGCTATTAACCCAAAAGTTATTTTTAATAATCCAAAAGCTTTAATAATTCGTTTCATTTGTTTCTTAAATTTGAATTTCGCGCCACTGTGTTTCTCTAAATTCCCGTCCAGAGGGCATGAAAATTCTCTCACAAACGAGATGGTACTGACGAAGTATAAGTATCAGTGACTCACTGAGAGTTGATTAAGTTTACTTTCAGATATTTCTGATTAATAATTGCATTGTTAATAATAGTATAAAAAAGATTATTGTCAATAATTCGTTTAATAATGAAATTAAAAATAAATTTAGTAAGTAATTATTTAACATAATGTATTTTATAATGGAGTTAATAATAATGGAATAATTAATAATTCAGTCTTAGTTTAAATAATGTTATCATAGTTAAAAAATAAACTTTATTATCATAGTTAATAAAATATTTTTATTTTTTAATTAATTATTTAATTATTACTTTTTTGAGGTTTTTTAAGTGGATATATAAGTGGACTCTTTTTGTCGAATATTTAAATTTAAATTTCGGCACTCAGCCTTGGGCCAATATTGGCGATAATAGTTGCTCTATTTTTTAGCCTTGACAATTTCCTATATTAGGTAGAAGAGAATCTAGAGTAATTTTTCCATTTTAAGTATTTCTTATTGCAATTCTGATTTTGACTCAAAAAAAAAAATATTTTCATTTATTCAAAAAAAAAAAAAAAAAATTTCATAAAAGGAAAAAAACTAATTTCATAAAGAAGGAAAAGGTTAGATTAATTTTTTTTTCCTTTTGTAAAAAATAAAGGATATTTATATAATATTTTGATACACTCCTGATGCTGCAGCAGCCGGCAACGTAGGGGTCTGTGTCACGTGGTGTTTCACGCACGCGAAAAAGAGGATCTGATTCTATTAACTGGAAATAAAAATTCAGCAGATGAACTAAAAACCTAAGATCAGGTGTCCATCTGATGCTAGGCGAAAAGAAACCGTTATTATTGCCGCTCATCCCAAATTAAAATTAAGAATACAGTCTGAAAATTATTCTAAAAACTTGTTTTTATTTTACGATTATTCAAATTTTATTAAAAAGTTATTTATCTTTTTAATATTTGTAATTTTTTTTAAATTTTCTTTAATAAAATGACTAAATATTCATCTCTCTTACTTTGTTAAAGAAAATGAATAATTTATTAATGTTTAAATAATTATTAATTATCTTTTTAATATTTGCTTTCTTAATTATTTGTAATTAAAATATAAAAAAATATTTTGTATTGAAAAGCCTTAATATTTATCTTCTTATTTATTTGCCATAAAAAAATAAATAATTTATTAATGAGATTTAAACGAAAAATTTTTTAGCTATCGATATGGGTAGAATTTTTTCACCGCTATAGGTGAACAATGTTGGATTGTTCTTCAATGTTGAAGAATTAACAATCAATAGCTAAAGTAATAATTCAAGTTAATTTATTGTTTCAAGATTGATTGATAAATTCCTTGACATTTTAGAAATAAAGTTGTTAGGACAATTTTTTTTTTATCATGGCCAATTTAATTATAATTATAAGTATTTAATTATAAATATATCCAAATATAATGATAAATTTAAATAGTTACATTAAGTATTTAATTAAAAATAAATTAAATAATTACTATTTGTGTTCGGCAAAAATATGGAAAATTTTTAATTATTTAAATTAAGACATTTCTATTCTCATACTCCTTTGGAAAATTAATTTTGATTTATTAATGATCTATTAATGTATTAACTCCAATAATTTGATGTAATTTATTAATATTACCGAATATTGATAGCTCGTCAATATTTTTAAAAATGTTAAATGTTCTACTTTTGGGATTTTTAAAATTATTAATAGGGATTAATTATTAATAGGGAATGATTTTATTATTACATTAAATTTACTTTTATATTTTATTGAATTATTAATTTAATATATTAACATACTGATATATTGAAAAAGTTTATTTAAAAATAAATTTTCGAATGGGTAGCTAAAAATCTTTTATATTTTTAATATTTTTAATATTATTTTTCTATATTTTTTTTTATTTATAATTCTAAATAAGTAGAAAATCTAATAAATAAATTAAATCTAATATTTTTACTCAGAATTTAGTTTAAAAATAGTTGATTATAATTCGTTTAAGGGCATTTGAACCTTGATGACGTTACAGTTTGTTCAAAGCATGTGTGACGTCATCAAGGTTCAAATGCCCTTAAGTGAAACTAAAAATAATTCTGATGACTAATTATTATTAATTAGGACTTAGTTATTGTTTAAACTTATTTATATTATTTAAAAATTTATCTATTTCTTCATAGTTATTTTCTACTAATAATTAGTTGCTATTTAAAATTGACATTATAAGTGTATTTTTACTAGTTGTTACAAAAATAATTTTTGTCAATTTTTTACTATTAAAAATTATTTTTATTTATTTATTGCGATTTATTTCTTACAGTTTTATTTTATATTTTATTTACATATTTTACTTGCATTTCTTTTTCATTATTTATTCAGATTTATTGAGATTTACATTCAGATTTTGAATAATAGAGCTTTAAATAATTGTAAAGTTTGAGAGAATTTTCCTTTTATAAGGTAATAACAATTTTTAATTGTTTTATAGATTTCAAATAAAGTAAAATTTTTTTAAACTAAGAAAAAATTATATCAATAGATAGATAGTTTTATCGACTATAAAATTCCGAAAATGCTTCACTGAGTGCAAAAGAAAAAAAATATTAAAGATAAATTCCGCAGCAAAGAGAATTTTACGAGAAGATAAAAAATTTCTATCAAACAGAATTTTTTTTTAAATTTCGAATAAAAAATGGGTTCTTTTTTAATTTTGAATAAAAAATGGTTTTTTCTCATTTTGATCAAAGAAATGGTTTTTTTATTTAGTATGAAAAACAAATTGTTTAGTTCGAAAAGAATTTTTTTTAACAAATATTTTACCGAAGATTCTTTTACCAAAATTTTTTGTAAAAGGTATATAATTTTTTCCAATAATTATATTGAAAAAAAAAATTATATAAAACAAAAGGATTTGTTCATTGCAATCGTTTTGCTGAGGCATTGTTAAAAAAATATAATATCTGTCAAGGATACAAGAAAATGCTTGTTTACAAACTTTTAAGTGTTATTGATTTTATCAGTTCTGATGACAAAATCTTAATCAGAGATTATAAAATTATCCCCGTAATAAAGTTAAATATAATTTTTTTTTAATGAAAAGAAAATTTATCTAGGATTCAGTGTCAGATTTTATCAAATTATTATTTTAGTCTTTTCTTTTTACTTTAGATTTGTTATTATATTTATTTATTCTTTTACTATAATTATATAATATAAATAAAAATAATATCATAATAAACTATTGTAATCTGCCTATTATTTATTTATTTATAAATTTATAAATAAATATATGATAATAAATAATGATGTTCAATTTCATGTTTTAATATATAAATAATATTAATAATATTAATAATAATAATCATTATTATTATTATATTATTATAATTATTGTATTATTAGATTGACCTCTTACATATTGCCAAGTTTCGGTTGATTCGGTCGATCTGTTTTTACCTGATGCGCGAACAAAATAATATTGCATCGACAGACATTTTCCGTTTACATTTTTAGATTCTTGATTTTAGTTCAAAATGTAAAAATAAAAAAAAGAGAAAGAAACAAAATAAATAAATAAACATTGCAAAAAATACTTGAGTTTCCAAAGGAGAGATTTCATTTTTAAATATTGAATTTCGTTTACGTCCTCCATAACTAATTAACAAAGTTTTCAATTAGCCATTACCAAGAATAGATTTTTTTTTTAATAAATAAAAAAATCTGTAAAAAAGTTTTTTTAGTT